CAGATTTTGTGCGAAAAGGAGCGCCTATATAAACATAGTTTTTGGGTTTTACACCGCCTGCCAGTTGTCTGAGTTGTATGGTCTGTATTAAACTTAAACTAGTCTAAATTTGTCCCGACATACCGCCAACAAATTGGCCACCAGAGGTGCACACAGCACCCACTCGATGGCTCTTTGATAATCTCTTGCAGACACATGTATGTCTCTGCGAGTTTGGCAAATATCAAGGGTTTGTCGCTGATGCGCGCTCCTGATTTGCACTGAGTATGAGAATGCTGTTGTTTTTAGGCTTTGGTAAAACTTTGAAAAAAAAATACAACAAATTTAGCCTGCTTTTGATCTGGCAGAAAATTTCTCTTTGAATTTACTTAAAGTTTTGCTGGAGCTATACATGAAATATGATTAGTTGCTAGCACTCGTTTTCCCCCTGCATATGGCAATCGTACAAGACAGATCTAGATAAGGCAAGGCAAGCCACAGCTTGTCTCTAGTCTCTACCAGTCTACTGAAGATGACAATCGCTGCTATCCCGTTATACCACCAGCCCTGCAGTACAGCCAATTTCATGTTCGTCCCAAGGTTAAGGGGTTTAACGGGGTTTGACTGCACATCTTTTCAGTGTTGCTATTTATTACTCAAAACCTGTGCCTGGCCAGTTATGGCATCTGTTGTGCTGGTTATGCTCTGTTACGTTCAAGGGGAAGTTTTTCCAACCACAGCTTTTTGTTTCAAGCCTTTCTCTTATCTGTAAACAAGAACAGGTCAAAAGAGGTTTCTCAGGCCCTTGGGTCAACAGCTGATCCACGAAATGGTTCTTTAAAAAAAATTCAAAGTAAGCGAAATACAATCCAGTTTCATTATACATTAATTTTCGTTGTAAACATATTCGGACTAGTTAACCCTATCCGTGCGCCCTGGGGTCATTTTGTACCCCAGGGGTTGTATTCTTCACATTTTAGAATGCTTCTAGTACGAAGATGTCTTTGAAACTTTCAGTATTTCTTAAAAAATCCTTTTGACAGACTGCTATGCAAAGCGTACGGGTCGGATTAACGAGTAAATTTCCTCTTTGGAAAGTGGTGGCTCAGAGTTCCCCATGTCGTATGGATACGATAGTAAAACACGACGTACGGATAGGGTTAATTGCCTCTTTCAACACAGTACGGTTATTATCTCTGATCAAAACGAACACTTTTGAAAATTCCCCCAAACAATCCAAGTTCAAGAACGCCTCAGCGGGGTTTCCACTAGTCATCCACAACACTGGTTTGTCCTGTTGGCTCAGTTGTTAGCATCGTGGTACTGGTTTGGGGGAAGGGGTGGTTTTGGGTAGGAGGGGGGACGCGTTGTTCCTGCTTCGAACCCTCTGTGCATAGCATTCCTTTTTTTAGCG